TACTATGGCTTTCCGCAGGAGCAGCAGCAGCCGCAGCAGCAGCAGCACCAGCAGCAGCCGGAGCCACAGCAAGTGCAGCAGCAGCATCTGCAACGGCAGCAGGAGCAGCAGCAGGAGGAGCAGCGGCACGAGTCAGTTGCCGCTGGTGTTGGTCATGCTGTTGCACCAGAGCTGCTCTTTCACAGCAACAGCAGCAGTAACAACGTGAGCAGCAGCAGCAGCAGCAACGGCGACTGCAGCAACCGCAGCAGCAAAGGAAACAGCGTGCCTGGTGTTCATGGTCGTGCAGCGGAGGTGCGCAATAGCAGCAGCAGCAGCAGCCACGGCAGCAGCAATAACCACGGCAGCAGCAGCAACCACAGCAGCAGCAACAGCCACGACAGCAGCAGCAGCCACGGCAGCAGCAGCAGCAGCAGCAGCAGCAGCAAGGGCGATGCGTTTGCGGCAGCGTCAACAGCACAAGACAAGGAGTTCACCTCTCCGTCAGCAGCAGCAGGAACAACTGCTGCCGCTGCTGCCGCAGACAATGATGCGGCGTCGCCCTCAGCAGCAGCAGCAGCAGCAACAGCAGCTCAAAGGAAGCAACCGAAAGACCGCGTTCCTTTGAAGCACAGAGCTGAGAAGCAGCTGTATGTCCCCGGGGCCCTTCGGCGGCAGCGGCAGGAGCAGCAGCAGGGGCCTTCTGCTGCAGCTGCTGCAGAAGCGCCGGTGGCGGCCTCTGCTGCTGATGCCAGCAGCAGCAGCAGCAGCAACAGCAACGGAAATGGCTGTGCGGCCGCGGGAGACCACAGCAGCACAGCAGGGCCTGTCTTTGCTGCTTCTGCCCCTGCGGCTTCCGTCTCGACAAATGAAGAAGTGCGAGGAGCTGCTGCTGCTGCTGCTGCTGCTGCTTCTGGTCGCCGCCCCGCAGGAGCAGCGGCAGCAGCAACGCCTAAGGACGAAACCCGCAACGGCAGCTGCAGCAACGGCAGCAGCAGGGACAGAGACTCGATGCAACAGCGGCACTGGCTTGTTGAGCAGGTGCAGTGGCGAGTCTTTCACCGATTTTCTGCTGCGTCAGCAGCAGCGGGAGCAGCAGCAGCAGCAGCAGCAGCGCCCGTGCCGCCACTGTCGCCAGCAGCTGCAGCAACAGTAGCAACAGCACCTCTGTCGCCGGCGCTGTCACCCGCAGCAGCAGTGTCGCCTTCTGCTGCTTCTGCTGCTTCTACGGACCGTTCTGGCTTCTCTGCACGACTTGAACATGGAGCAGCAGCAGCAGCGGCAGCAACTGCTGCTGCTGCTAATGCAGCTGCAGCGCGAGGTAGACGGGACTCTGCAGCCGAAGGGCGCAGCAGCAAGAGCAGCCACAGCAGAAATGGCAGCAGCAACACCAGCAGCAACAGCAACCACGCGGGCCCGAACCACAATTTTGCTGCTGCTACTGACGCTGCGTCAGCAGCAGCAGCAGCAGGAAGGCAGCCAATAGCACGCCTGCAGTCGAACACAAGTGAAGAAGGCAGCAGGTGGAGCTGCAGCAGTCCCTACAGCAACAGTAACAGCAACGGGCGCAGCAGCAGCAGCAGCAGGAGCGGCAGCAATCTGCCTTCGAGAGGCAGCAAGAGCCGACCTAGCAGCAGCAGCAGCAGCAGCAACAGCAGCAGCTGCGCCAACAAAGGCCAAGTGAGGCTGCTCCACGTGGCACTTAATGGCATGCGGCGCTGCGATAGAAGCACGCCGAGCCCCACACAGCAGCAGCAGCAGCAGCAGCAACAGCAACAGCAGCAGCTGCTGCGAGAGCCAGCGCTGCACGGTAAGCCTGATGCTTTAAATGACTCGGAAGTTTAGGGCTGCGCACAACAGCAGCAGCAGCAGCAGTTGCTGCTGGTTCTGCTGCTGCTGCTGCTTGTGCTGCTGCTCCTTCCGCTGGTTGCAGCTGAAGGGAAGCCCTCAATTCTTCTGCCGACGCGAGTGAGTGAAGCGGCGGCGCAGCAGCTGCTGCTGCAGGTGCAGCAGCAGCAGCAGCAGCTTTCCCGCTGCTGCAGCTGCCTTTGCAGCTAATGTTAAGTGGAACGATTTGAGCTGCCGCTGTGTCGAGGTGTACGTACACCTCAACACGATGTTTCTGCTGCTCGGCAGAAGGCCTGCGGCATGCTTCTCATTTTATACTAAGTAAACTGGCTAATTGCATTTATACTGAGCCAGCAGCAACGCTTCAGCAGCAGCAGCAGCAGCAACAGCTGCTGCGGCAGCAGCTGCTGCAGCAATAGCCGCTGCAGCGCAGCAGCGCTAGCTGTTGCAGCAACAGCTGCAGCAACAGCGGCAGCAGGCTGCAACAGCAGTTCGTGCTTCGGATAGAGGAGCCACGCTAGAAACTAGTTAGCCTAGTGGCGGTGCTGCTGCTGCTTCCGGTTTATGCAGTGCTGCTGCTGCTGCTTCCGGTTTATGCAGTGCTGCTGTTGCTGCTCCTAGTTAATGCAGTGCTGCTGCTGCTGCTTCTAGTTAATGTAGTGCTGCTGCTGCTGCTAGCTTACGTAGTGCCTAGTTTTGCCGGTGTACCAGGGACTTTGGTGCTGCTGCTGCTGTCGCTAGTTTTGTTACTACTGCAGCAGTTGCTGCTGCTGCTGCTAGATCTGTCAGCTCCAAAAGCAACACAAGTGGCAGCAAACAAAGGAGGACTTCGCAGTCTAAATGATTCAGTCGTTGCAGCAACATCAGCTGCTGCTGCTGCTGCAAACGGCGTTGCTGCATACAAGGTACATAAGATGTCCCTAGTCACATTCGCTACAGCAGCGGCAGCTGCAGCAGCAGCTGCTGCTGCTGCTTAGCCATTGAAACGCGTAGATGGTGCTGTGCTGTAGGAGCACGAGCGGCGGCAGCACTTGCTGCGGCGACCGCTGCTGCAGTTGCTGCTGCAGCAACTGCAGCAGCAACTTCAGCGGCAGCAAGAGCAGCAGCAGCAAAAGCCATAACAGCTTCACTTGCTGTTGCTGCTGCTCCTCTAGGGAGGGTGAAGTGGGGCTTCTCCATCGCCCACTGATATCTGCAGCAACGACCGCACGACTGCAGCAGGAGCAGAAAGAACAGCAGCAACACTTGTTTAGGGAGCAGCAGCAGCAGCAACAGCAGCAGCAGCAAAGCACAACGTGCTTCAAACAGCACCAGCCCCCGCAGCAGCCGCAGCGGAAACGGTCCCACGCTTCAACTGGAGCAACGGCAGCAGCAGCAAAATCAACAGCAGCAGCAGCAAGAACAGCAGCAGCAGCAGCAGCAACAGCAGCCACTTGCCTTGTCTGCAAATGGGGCATTTGTTCGTCTGTAGCCTCATAATGCCGGCGCACTGAAGAGACAACAAAATGGAAAAGTTGCTGCTGCTGCTGAGGTGTACGTACACCACATGGAAAAGCTGCTGATGCTCTTCAGGTGTACGTACACCCCAGAGCTGCTGCGGCTTGTGAGGTGTACGCGGAGCGGGGAAACGACAGCAAAGATGAAAAGGGGAAACGGGGGAGAAAAAAAGAGAAAAAAGATCAAAAGGAAGCAGGAAGAAAGGAAAAAAGAATATAAAAGATTAAAAAGAATAAAAAGAAGATTTAAAAAGACAAAAAGGAACAAAAAAGACCAAAAGAGCTCCGAAAGAAGAAACGAAGAGGCAGAAAGAGCCCCCGAAAGACAACAAGAGATAAAAGGATGCAAAAGGGAAGCAGCAGAAGGAAAAAAAAAGAAATGAGACAAATAAAATAAATAAAATAAATAAAATAATAAAATAAATCGAATAAATAAAATAAATAAAAGTAAATAAAAATAAAATAAAAATAAAAATAAAAGAAAGTGCTGCTGCCGCACCTCGCTGCAGAGGCACATGTGGCGACACGGCAAAACTGCTGTTGTCCTTTCCTCCGCCAAACAGATCACGCACTCCCTGCAGCCGCATGCAGCCACAAACTGCTGCTGCTGCTGCTGCTGCGGTGGCTGTTGCTGCGGTGGCTGCTACTGCGGTGGCTGCTGCTGCGGTGGCTGCTGCTGCGGTGGCTACGGTGGGCGGAGGGCAGCAGCAATGCGGGATGTGCGGGAATGAAAACAGCAGCAGTGCGGGGAAAAAAAGAGCAACAGCAGCAGCAGAAGAAGCAGCAGCAGAAGCAGCAGCACAGCCTCTCACCTCCCAGAAAGATTCTCCTCCCCTGAACTTAAACGCGTAGGAGCAGCAGTTGCTGCTGCGTCTCCTGCTGCTGCTGCTGCTCCGTTAGTGAGCTCTGTGGTGGCCTGGCGCCGACGGCCAAACCCTGGGCCGCCATCTATACCAAATATCTCCTGTGCACAGCAGCAGCAGCAGCAGCAGCAGCTGTTGCAGTAGCTGCAGCAGCAGCTGTTGCAGTAGCTGCAGCGGCAGCTGTTGCAGTAACTGCAACAGCAGTAGTAGCTGCGGCAGCTGCAGTAACTGCAGCAGCTGCAGTAAATGCAGTAGCTGCAGCAGCCCAAGTAGCTGCAGTAGTAGCAGCTGCGGGACCACAACGACGACAGCAGGAGCTGCAGCAACAGCACCTGCAGCAGCAACAGTAGCTGCTGCAACAATGGCAGCATTCATCCTTACTTGGACCTCAAAGGAACGCGATCCCAGTTCCACTCTTTGCTTGAGGACACAGAGGCGCCACATAGTGGCCACAGGGTCATGGGCTGCAGCAACTGCTGCTGCTGCTGCTGCTGCTGCAGTTATACTGCTGCTGCGACTGGGCGATTCAGTCTCGTCTGGCCCTTGCTGCTGCGATTTAGGACTTGTGCTGCTGTGGGGTGACTCTTGCAAGACAAAAGCCACACTGGTCAGCTGCTGCCGGACCCCTTCTGCTGCTGCTGCTGCTACTGCTGTTGCTCTGAGTCCTTCCTCTGTCGCTGCTGCTGCTGCTGCTGGGGCAGCAGCTGCTGCTTCAGCTGTTTCCTCTGTAGAAACAGCTCGCTGCAAAACAGCGCACAGACGCACGCAGTGAGAAATGCAGCAGCAGAAACAGCAGCAGCAGCAGCAGACGGATCGGCAGAAGGCGGCGCAGCAACAGCTTCAGGCACCGAAGCAGCGGCAGCAGCAGCAGCAGCAGCAGCTGACCAGGCGTATCAGCAAGTCGCAGTCTTCTCCTTGCTGCTGCGCCGGCCCTTTTGCCCTCAGGGATTCAAGGCAGTCCGAAGCCAACGGCGACTCTGCAGCAGCACGCAAGCAGTTCTCAAAATTACCCTGCAGCAGCAGCAGCAGCAGCAGCTGCTGCTGCTGCAGCAACAGCAGCACTCATGATGGGTCACTAGCTGGTGCTATTTCATCTCGCAGTAGCAAGCATCGCAACTGCTGCAGTCAGCTGGGTGTTGCGGCAACAGCAACAAGGAAACGCAGCAGCAGCAGCAGCAGCAGTAGCAGCAAACCTTGTGGAGCAGCTTCGAATAGCTGCTGCAGCCCTGCGCCGAACCTTCTTGGTGGCGAAGCAAACATACAAGGGGGCTCATTGCTGCACAAGCAGCAGCAGCAGGACAGCAGAAGCAGCAGCAGCAGCAAAGGTCAGAAATATACAAACTTCAGCAGCAATCGCAGACGCAACGCAGCGGCAGCGGCTAGTGTGCTGCTGCTGGTGGCAGAAGCAGCTAAGCCGCAGCAGCAGCGACGCTACAAGCGGTAGGGGAAAGTCAGCAGCAACTCAATGGCAGCAGCAGCAGCAACTACACACAAACACCAGTAGCAGCAGAAGCTGCAAAATCGGCAACAGCAGCAGCAAAAGCAGCAGGAACAACAGCAGCAAAGCCACAGGCAGCGCGTGCCAAGCAGCAGCAGCACCAAAACAGAACTACCAGCAGCAACACCGCCAGTACCAGCAGCAGCAGCGCAGCCAGCAGCAGCGCAAGCAGCAGCAGCAGCAGCAGCAGCGGCAGCAGCAGCAGCAGCAGGTCTTACGAATACTGTGGGTCTGGCTGCCTGGGAAAAAAGAAAAGAGAAACATCGAGAGGACACAAACTGTCGAAGCGGAAGGAGACGCAGACGCGGCTGTCTTGCTGCAGCGCAGCAGCAAATAAGGCAGTTGGAGAAATTGTTTTTGAAGAGAATAACTAAATTAATTTAATTAATTAATTTAATTAATTTAATTAATTTATTTAATTTAAATAAAATTAAGAAACGGAAGCAAAGTGAGCTGCCGAAGTGACGCGAAACACGCGGGCTCAAACGAACAGCAGCGATGCGCTGCTAGCCAGCAGCAGCAGCAGCAATAGCAGCAGCAACAGCAGCAGCAGCAGCAGCAGCTACTGCCAACGCGTGCAGCAGCAAGCTACTGAAAGGCATCTGCCGATGTGCCAAGAGCAGCAGAATAAGCAGCAGCAATGCTGCCAACAAGGGCAGCAGCCAGCAGCACCTACAGCAGCAGCAGCAACAGCAACAGCAGCAGCAGCAGCAACTTACAATACTTGCTGCAAGCGAGGACTTGATAAGGTTAACCGGATTTCGGACAATAAATGTCTTCTGTACAGACAGCTGAGGCAAAGGCGGCTGCTGCGACTCTGGCCCTGTCATGCCGCCCTGCAGAAACACCACCAAGCTGCTGTTGCTGCTGCTGCTGCTGTTGCTGCTGCTGCTGGTGCTGCACTGGGGAGCATGCGTGCGGCAGCAGCCGACAGACATAAGCAGCATCGGCAGCAGCGCCCACAACTGCAGCAACAGCTGCAGCAGCAGAGCAGCAGCCAGAGCAAGGCCGGCAGAGGACGCAACAGCAGCAACTACAGCAGCAACAGCAGCAACAGCAGCAACAACAGCAGCAGCAGCAGATGCAGCAGCTCACCGTCGGCCCCCCCCTTGCGAGGGAGACGACTTGTTGCTGCGCACAAACAACACATGGGTTCCGCAGCTGCAGCGGCAGCAGCAAAAGGAGCAGCAGCAACTGCGCAGCCGCAGCAGCACCAAAAAGAGCAGCAGCTGCTGCTGCACCTCAGATGCTCGGAGCCAAAAGTGCAGCAGCGGCAGCAGCAGCAGCAAGGGCTGCAGCGGGAAGACTAAATAAGAAAGAGAGGCCAGAAGGAGAGCAAACGATGCAACTTTGAGGGAGACAAACATTAAGGTGCTGCTGCTTCTGCTGCTGCTGCTGCTGCTCTCACAGGACGGATGGAGAAGGACCCCTGCCGGCTGGTGCGGCTGTGCGCCAGACCCATTGGGACGAACAAAAACAGGAATTGCTGCTGCTGCTGCTGCTGCTGCAGCTTTATATGGCGTTGCCACTGCTACAGTGGCAGCGGCCGCTGCTGCAGTTGCTGCTACTGCTTCCAGGGAGACGGAGGCTTCTTGGGGAGCTCCCGTTGCTGCTGCTTCCAACTTCGATTTGTGGCTGTTGCTGCTGCTGCTGTTGGCACTGCAGCAGCAGCAGCTGCCGCTACTGCTGCAGAAGGCTGGCAGAGACCGCTGCTGCAGTTTCAGTGGAAGGCTGTTTACAGAAGCCTCTGAATCTCCCCCTAGTAGCCCAGCTGCTGCTGCTGCTGCTGCTACTGCTGCTGCTGCTCCTGCGTGAGTAGCAGCGAGCTAAGTGGCAGCTATTGTTGCTTCTGCTGCAGCTACAAGTAAAAGTATTTGTATAAATGTTTAAAAATGTGACAAAAATGGGGGGCAGATGACAGATGCTGCTGCTGGCGCCGCCGACCGCTGCTGCTGCAGTTGGGGGGCCCCGTTGGCTGGAGCGAACAGCTGAGGACTGCTGCTGCTGTTGCTGCTGCTGAAACTGCAGCAGCAGCAACTTTCATCTAAGTTTTGTGGAGTTTAGTTGCTTTTCATAACATTTTTCGCCGCATCAGCATCCGCGGCCCTTGCTGCTGCTGCTGC